TGGTCTTGTAGCCCATTCCAGCCTTGTGTAGGTCTGCAATCTTGTCCCTGACATCCTTGGAGAGTTCTTTGGTCTTGGCCATGGTGGAGAGTTTGGAATCTGATTGATTGATTGCTTCTGTGGACAGGTGTCTTTTACACAGGTAACAAACTGAGATTAGGAGCACTCCCTTTAAGAGTGTGCTCCTAATCTCAGCTCGTTACCTGTATAAAAGACACCTGGGAGCCAGAAATCTTTCTGATTGAGAGGGGGTCATATACTTATTTCCCTCATTAAAATGCAAATCAATTTATAACATTTTTTACATGCGTTTTTCTGGATTTCTTTGTTGTTATTCTGTCTCTCACTGTTCAAATAAAACTACCATTAAAATTATAGACTGATCATTTCTTTGTCAGTGGGCAAACGTACAAAATCAGCAGGGGATCAAATACTTTTTTCCCTCACTGTATACAAAAGTATGGGGACACTTGTTCAATTGAGTGGATTCGGCTATTTCAGCCACACCCATTGCTGACAGGTGTATAAAATCGAGCACACCGCTATGCAATCTCCATAGACAAACATTGGCAGTAGAATTGCCTTCAACGTGGCACCTTCATAGGATGCCACTTTTCCAACAAGTTAGTTCGTCAAATTTCTGCCCTGCTAGTAACTCGACTCAGGATATGACCCAGATACAGACACAGGAGACGGAAGGTTCAATACACAGAGTAGTTTATTAAACCACAGGAAGCAGGCAAAGGGCAGGTCGAGGACAGGCAGAGGTTTGAAACCAGGTCAGAGTCCGACAGGTACAGGGCGGCAGGCAGGCTCAGGGTCAGGGCAGGCAGAAGTTTGGAAACCAGGTCAGAGTCAGATAGATACAGGACAGCAGGCAGGCTCGGGATCAGGGCAGGCAGAATGGTATGGCAGGCGGGCTCAGGGTCATGGTCAGGGTCAGGGTCAGGGCAGGCAGAAATGGTCAGAACCGGTAGGACTAGAGAAAACAGGAGTACGGAAAAACACGCTGGTGGGCTTGACGAGACAAGACGAACTGGCAACAGACAAACAGGAAACGCAGGTATAAATGCACAGGGGATAATGGGGAAAATGACACCTGGAGGGGGTGGAGACAAGCCCAAGACAGGTGTAACAGATCAGGGTGTGACAGCTAGAGCTGCCCCGGTCAACTGTAAGTGTGAAGTGGTTATCCACACAAGCTCACAGAACGGGACCCCCGAGTGCTGAAGCAAGTAGCGCCTAAAAATCATCTGTCCTTGGTTGCAACACTCACTACGAGTTCCAAACTGCCTCTGGAAGCAAGGTCAGCACAAGAACTGTTTGTTGGGAGCTTCATGAAATGGGTTTCCATGGCCGAGCAGCCGCACACAAACTCACCATGCGCAATGCCAAGTGTCGGCTGGAGTGGTGTAAAGCTCGCCGCCATTGGACTCAGCAGTGGAAACACGTTTTCTGGAGTGATAAATCAATCTTCATCATCTGGCAGTCCGACGGATGAATCTGGGTTTGGCGGATGCCAGGAGACGCTACCCGCCCCAATGCATAGTGCCAACTGTAAAGTTTGGTGGAGGAGGTATAATGGTCTGGGACTGTTTTTCATGGTTCGGGCTAGGCCCCTTAGCTCCAGTGAAGGGAAATCCTAACGCTACAGCATACAATGACATTGTAGACGATTCTGTGCTTCCAACTTTGTGGCAAAAGTTTGGGGAAGGCTCTTTCCTGTTTCAGTATGACAATGCACCCGTGCACAAAACGAGGTCCATACAGAAATGGTTTGTCGAGATCGGTGTGGAAGAACTTGACTGGCCTGCACAGAGCCCTGACCTCAACCCTATAGAATACCTTTGGGATGAATTGGAAAGCCGACTGCGAGCCAGGCCTAATCTCCCAACATCAGTGCCTGACCTCACTAATGCTCTTGTGGCTGAATGGAGCAAGTCGGGGCAGCAATGTTCCAACATCTAGTGGAAAGCTTCACAGAAGAGTGGAAGGCTGTTATAGTATCAAAGCGGGGACCAACTCCATATTAATGTCCATAATCTTGGAATGAGATGTTCGACGAGCAGGTGTCCACATACTTTTGGTCATGCAGTGTTGCATGTCTTTCTGTGATGCCGATGGTTAGCTGAGCTGCCAACGTATGCTAGCGTTGCATCATGGGAGATGTAGTTTTAGCTCTCTAAGGTCTGAATGGGATAAATGCGATTTGACGCTGTAGCTTGTTTGTATTACAGTGTTTTGTATATGAGTTGTTGTATTTTAATACTGTCAACACAGAAAGCACCTAGCAATGTATTGGAGATGTGAGACAGGATATCTGTTTTACTTTTCTTCATGCTCCTCTATAGAACAACTTGTCAGATGGTGCATTGAAGACTGATGTATTCCTGTCCTGTCTTTTCATAATACCATTGCAGATATACATAAGCCGAAAAAGACAGCTCTGGTGTCGCTCTACACTTTTACTTCGTTGGGGAGTCAAGCGTGAGTGTTAGTTCACAAAAGGCTTTTTTAAAACTCTTTGAGGAGGTAGGGTTTCAGATGTTTTCGGAAGATGGCCAGGGACTCTGCTGTCCTAGCTTCAGGGGGAAGCTGGTTCCACCATTGGGATGCCAGGACAGAGAAGAGCTTGAACTGGGCTGAGTGGGAGCTGCCCTCCCGTAGGGGTGGGAGGTCCAAGAGACCAGAGGTGGCAGAATGGAGTGCTCAGGTGTCGGGTTTGAGCATAGCCTGAAGGTAGGGAGGGGCAGTTCCTCTTGCTGCTCCGTACGCAAGTATGATGGTCTTGTAGTGGATGCGAGCTTCGAATGGAAGCCAGTGGAGTGTGCAGAGGAGCAGGTTGACATGGGAGAACTTGGGAAGGTTGAACACCAGGCGGGCTGCAGCGTTCTGGAGAAGTTGCAGGGGTTTGATGGCACAAGCCGGCCACGTTTGACAAAAAATCTTAAGTATCTACTCCTAATTAAGATTCAAAGATTTCTGCAGAAAGAATGGGGTGTCAGCTATGATATGACATTTGTCAACATTCTATAGCAATATAAAGTGGGAAAGCGGCCGTGCGTTTGGACAATTAATAGACACTGTAGTAAATAAAACCGAATAAAAACATCTGTCTTGTCCAGGAACGGAGTCTACACCGGTGCGCCATTGCCAATCAGAGCTACAGTAGGCCTATATGCAAATAAGCCATTTGCCACACGGGCCTGCCATCATTCACTTTGAACTGGTCTTTGTGTTTACAGGCAGTAGCAACAGCGCGACTGTATATCATTAGAATGCATTCGCCAAAAGCCACAAAAAATACACCAAGAACGGATTTCTGCAAATACCATGGGAGTCCTCTTACATTTGGGAACAGTCCTACTGAGCAAACAACCATGAAAAGGTAGGCTAAATCTCCCTCAGTTGCCTATGCACCTCAACAACAACAAGAGCTAAAAATCTAACAAGGGAACATTAGATAAACCCTCTCTCAACTTTTTCAGCAAAATAGCACTGACAAATGATGGGGAATAGTAGCCTGCTGCTTGACTGCCAATGCATGCTTGTCCCAACCCACGTTTTGACAACTGAATGGGAACTTGCCTCCCTTACAAAAAAAGATTGCAGTTTTGAAACTGCAGTAAAAGTGCAGTAACTGCAGTCGATTGTGGTATTCTGTAGTAAAAAAAAAGCTTGAGAGGATCTGCAGAGAAGAATGGGAGAAACTCCCCAAATACAGGTGTACTGTTGATATTATGCAAAAAGAAAGCTACACCCTTACGAAAAAAGATTGCAGTCAGAGCGCCGTGTAACTGCAGTATGCTGCAATTACTGCGTCCAAAATACCACAGTCGACTGCAGTTACTGCACTTTTACTGCAGTTTCAAAACTGCAATCTTTTTTTGTAAGGGCAGCATTCTTGTTTAGACTACTGTAGCCAGATCGATAGATATTTTGAAAAGCAGTGGTCTTAAAGCGCCAATGTACTATTTTGAGATATAAAAATATATTACACAGCTATTTAATATATCCCATAATAACCAAATGTGGCCTATTACTATCTGAATATAGAGAGAGAAAGCATGTCAACCTAGCCCCTGCATGACCCTAATGCATTTACTGTATATACTACCACGTCCAGGCCAGTAGAAATTCTGTTTGGGCCAGTAGATTTTAAAGTGAACGATGGATCCTGTATAGATTTACCATTTGTACATATTTACCGTAACAGAGATACGAAGCTAGTCATTGTGGAACACCTGGCTATTATGAAAGACACCACTGTAAGTGAATGATTGTTGCAGCCCCTCACCATCTGTGAATATGTCTCCCCTGATAAATATTCTGCTTAGATTAGTGTAATGCAAAGGCGAACAGACTGATACAAGATACAGGTGGCCAATACACTTTATTGGGGAACAAATAGTGGCTACAAGTCTCTCAAACAAATTGAAAAAAACACACACAAAGCGATTAAGACATCATTTCAATCAATACAATTGCAATAGGCCTAAAAAGGCCTAACATTTCTAAATCTACAATATAACTTTAGATAATTTTCTCACATTAAGGGGTGAGGTGGTCACAAAAAGGACAGTCTGAACCCATGCATAAACTTGCTTGTTTGGTGTCATTCTATGGACTTAAATATGGCGAGTGTGGTGGAACTTTATTTTACTGTCGGTCAACATGGGATCTAAGTGAGTTTGTATTTGTTAAAGGGATTGGTTTTGTCAGGTAAACTGAGTAAAAATGTACCTTGGGTTTGGATGGCAAGGTCACATGTCCAATCATTCTTATTTGGTGTTGGTCTCATGTCTTAAGATGGAGTTGCATACAGTACAGTCCCCTTTCCTTTAAAAAACCTAACCTACAACTAAACACACAGTAAGAACAGGGAAGAATTCAGTCAACTGTGCAATTCCAAAAGCCTTATTTGGAGAGCACATTGCAACTGGGGTCAGAACCTGGACCTAGGGTTAGGGGTCAAAAGAGGTCCGTTTGTGGAACGGCTACATTTGGGTTCCCCGACCCTGTCCGTCTTGTGGTGGTGGGGGCTCAGAGATGCCCTCCTGTTTGCCAGGGGAGTCAGCCAGCAGGAAGGAGTCATTGGAATGGGTGCTGAGGCGCAGCGGAGCCAGGCGGAGGTTGCTCGGTGTCCAGGGCAGTCTCACCTGAGCCCTCTGAGAAGGGGTCACGGTGCTGCTTTCCGCCTCGGCTTCAGCCAGCCATGAAGGAATCTGCTGCATTGGTGGCATGGGGTCCATCTCTGCCATGAAGGCTGGGTTGACGATTCCAGCTAGACCAGGAGGGAGATTTAAATTAATTGGAATTGATTTCATTGATTGAAAGTTCTCTTAAGAGGTGAGCTTATTGTTGTTTAGTGACTGAAGCGTTTTAGTGTCTGACTTAGACATGTTTAACTTGGTTAATTTAATTCATTTTGAGTTGATGTGAAGAAGACTCTCTTACCTCCTCTATTGGCTCTCATGGGGAATGAACCACCAGCAGCCTCGCAACCAGAGGCACTGTCTCCTTCAGAAAACTCAAAATCTGGAGCCAGAGAGAAATTATGTTGTTTACTTATGCACAGGTATCTAAACCCAAATGGCAGAAAGCAAATGTAATCAGCCTCGTCCTCTTCCTATGTGTCACTAAGTTTTATGTCATTGGTGTTACCGGCTTGAAATTCACTCCAAAGATACTGTATACAAGGACCTTGAGTGTTCCCTCCAGTGGCAAACTGTTATAAGGGGAGGGGTTTATATTAAAGAGAAGTATTAGCTAATCACATCCATGTAGTATGTTTTAAAACTGAGGATTCCATTGATACATTTAACCGGTGTGAAATGGCTAGCTAGTTAACGTTGCGTGCTAGTGGCGTTTCAATTGGTGACGTCACTCGAGACCTTAAAGTAGTTGTTTCCCTTGCTTGGCTCGAGCCCAGGTTGGGGCAAGGAGAGGGTCGGAAGCAATACTTTTATATAAATACAAAGTGTCATTGGTGTTACTCTATTTAAATTAAGGGAAATTACATTGTGAGCAAAATGGTTAATCATATCACTTTAGTAAATTATTTTTAATAGATTTGAGAATATGTGGCCTCCATTTAAGAAAACCCTCAATTACCTAAAATGTGTCATTGGTGTAACCGTCATTTGTGTTACTACTCCTACTGGTGGCACAATGTTATCATAATGGTACAAATTATTAAAAGATATTAAGCTGCTATATTAGTTGATTTAGAATAGGTACCCCCAAAACATCTAGAAAAAGGCCACCGTAGTTTAAGAACGACTCTCCCCTCAACCTCATATAATGCAAAAAAGAAGTGAAAAGCAAAGAGCAAAGAAGTACCTTCATCCCCATAAACATGGCTTTTACTGTTATCCGTGGATTTTCCATTTGGCATCTAAAAATGACACAAAGTCAAATACACAACATACATATTATCACATTGCCTCCAAGAGGATGGTTATGAAGACAAGGGGGAAGGAGAAAAAAGTGCAGTCATTCCTGACCTTTTGTGGCTGGTCTTTCTTTAAATGCTTGGTTATCTTCTTGGGTGGAGCGACACCCATTTTGGCTGACTTGAAGGACTCTAGACGGCTCCTCATTGTTCTCTGGAGGATCTCTTGCACCTCATTCTCGTCCTTGTTGACTTCGAGTTGCTTCCGACTGTACCTGTGTCTGTGCTGTTAGGTGAGGGAATGAGAGCAAGAGAAGAGGGTAAAAAAAAGTTGCTTTTTTAGCGCCCCTGAGATTTTTGAGGATCTAATTGTCTTTGACTAAGCAATACCTGTTTCCTGCCTTTGTACAAGTGCTGCTGCAGTAGATGGTGTGCGTCAAAGTCCTCTGACTCCCTCATCTTCAGGTCCTGCTCATGTATGTCCAGGCAGACAGAGGGCACACTGTCCAGTCTAGAAGGGAAGAAACATAAATGTTCACTGTTGGTAATTTGCTGGCCACTGGAAGGCAGACTTGAAAAACGTACAAGGGCCCGGTTTCCCAAAAGCATCTTAAGGCTAAATTCATCGTTAGAACCCACGTAGGAGCATTGTTCAATCTCAGAGCTGTTTCCCAAAAGCATTGTTTAATAAAGTGGCACTTGAAAACGCTTGTTATTTACCAACTCCCTCAAACTACTCGTAGAACAGCTAAGATGTTTATCTGTCTCTCTGTGACCGGCAATAACTTCACAACGAAGTTGACTACAAATGTAAAGTTGCCAATGTCTTTGCAATTGTTACAAACAAGCAAAGGATGAAAAGATGCTTCAAATGAAAACCGAGATGACTGCATTAAAATATAAATAATCTATAGTATAGGCTACATAGGCCTACAGTCCCAGTCAAAAGTTTGGACACATACTCATTCAAGGGTTTTTCTTTCTTTTTACTACATTGTAGAATAATAGTGAAGACATCAAAACTATGAAATAACACATAGTAACCAAAAAAGTTTCAAATAGCCACAATTTGCCTTGATGACAGCTTTGCACTCTCTTGGTATTCTCTCAACCAGCTTCATGAGGTAGTCACCTGGAATGCATTTCAATTAACAGGTGTGCCTTCATAAAAGTTAATTTGTGGAATTTCTTTCCTTCTTAATGCGTTTGAGCCAATCAGTTGTGTTGTGACAAGGTAGGGGGGCTCAAATAGAACAGCTCAAATAAGCAAAGAGAAACGACAGTCCATCATTACTTTAAGACTTGAAGCAGTCAATACAGAACATTTCAAGAACTTTGAAAGTTTCTTCAAGTGCAGTTGCAAAAACCATCAAGCGCTATGATGAAACTGGCTCTCATGAGGACCGTGACAGGAATGGAAGACTGCTGCAGAGGATAAGTTCATTAGAGTCACCAGCCTCAGAAATTGCACCCCAAATAAATGCTTCACAGAGTTCAAGTAACAGACACATCTCAACATCAACTGTTCAGAGGGGACTATGTGAATCAGGCATTCATGGTCGAATTGCTGCAAAGAAACCACTACTAAAGGACACCAATAAGAAGAAGAGACCTGCTTGGTCCAAGAAACACGATCAATAGACATTAAACCGATGCAAATTTGTCCTTTGGTCTGGAGTCCAAATTGGAGATTTTGGGTTCCAACCGCCGTGTCTTTGTGAGACGCAGAGTAGGTGAACGGATGATCTCCGCATGTGTGGTTCCCACCATGGTGCATGGAGGAGGAGGTGTGATGGTGTGGGGGTGCTTTGCTGATGACACTATCTGTGATTTACTTAGATTTCAAGGCACACTTAACCAGCATGGCTACCACAGCATTCTGCAGTGATACGCCATCCCATCTGGTTTGCGCTTAGTGGGACTATCATTTGTTTTTCAACAGGACAATGACCCAAAACACACCTCTAGGCTGTGTAAGGGCTATCTGACCAAGAAGGAGAGTGATGGAGTGCTGCATCAGATGACCTGGCCTCCACAATCACCCGACCTCAACCCAATTGAGATGGTTTGGGATGAGTTGGACCGCAGAGTGAAGGAAAAGCAGCCAACAATTGCTCAGCATATGTGGGAACTCCTTCAAGACTGTTGGAAAAGCATTCCAGGTGACTACCTCATGAAGCTGGTTGAGAGAATACCAAGAGTTTGCAAAACTGTCATCAAGGCAATGGGTGGCTACTTTGAAGAACTTCAAATATAAAATATATTTTGATTTGTTTAACACTTTGTTAGTTACTACATTATTCCATATGTTTAATTTCATAGTTTTGATATAGTCACTATTATACTATAATGTAGAAAATAGTAGGTGTGTCCAAATGTTTGACTGGTTCTGTACATGAAAAATATTTTCCTTTATTATTTTCCCGTAATCCTACCACCCCTACCCTAATTGGAGTAAACTAATGGACAACAACACTTACACTTCTACTTCCAGCTAATACACTGCATTTGGAAAGTATTCAGACCCCTTGACTTTTTGTTACGTTACAGACTTATTTTTTTCAAATATAAAAAAAAAGGAAATATAACATTTACATAGGTATTCAGACCCTTTACTCAGTACTTTGTTGAAGCACCTTTGGCAGCGTCGAGTCTTCTTGAGTATGACGTTACAAGCTTGGCACACCTGTATTTGGTGCTTCTCTGCAGATCCTCTCAAACTCTGTCAGGTTGGATGGGGAGTGTCACTGCACAGCTAATTTCAGGTCTCTCCAGAGATGTTCGATCGGGTTCAAGTCCGGGCTTTGACTGGGCCACTCACAGACATTCAGAGACTTGTCCCAAAGCCACTCCTGCATTGTCTTGGCTGTGTGCTTAGGGTCGTTGTCCTGTTTTGTGCCCCCTCGGGCTTGTGCGGTGGAGGAGATCTTCATGGTCTATACTCAGCCTTGTCTCAGGGTAGTAAGTTGGTTGTCTGTTGATATCCCTCTAGTGGTGTGGGGGCTGTGCTTTGGCAAAGTGGGTGGGGTTGGCCCTGTCCAGGGATATCGTCGGATCCCCCCCCCCCCGTCAGCCTCCAGTATCTATGCTGCAATAGTCTATGTGCCTGGGGGGCTGGTGTCAAGTCTTTCCTATCTGGTGAAATTCTCCTGCCTTATCTGGTGTCCTGTGTAAACTTTAGTATGCTCCCGCTAATTCTCCCATCACTTGCTCTCTCTCTGAGGACCTGAGCCCTAGGACCATGCCTGAAGACTCCTGGCTGTCCCCAGTCCACCTGGTTGTGCTTCTGATCCAGTTTCAACTGTTCTGCCTGCGGCTATGTAACCCTGACCTGTTCACCGGACGTGCTACCTTGTCCCGGACATGTTGTTTTCGACCTTCTCACTCTCTCTCGCTCTCTCTACCACACCTGCTGTCTCGACCTCTGAATGCTCAGCTTTGAAAGGCCAACTGACATTTACTCCTGAGGTGCTGACCTGTTGCACCCTCCACAACCACTGTGATTATTATTTGACCCTGCTGGTCATCTATGAACGTTTGAACATCTTGAAGAACAATCTGGCCTTAATGGCCATGTACTCTTAAAATCTCCACTCGGCACAGCCAGAAGAGGACTGGCCACTCCTCAGAGCCTGGTTCCTCTCTAGGTTCCTGCCTTTCTATGGAGTTTTTCCTAGCCACCGTTCTTCTACATCTTTATTGCTTGCTGTTTGGGGTTGTAGGCTGGGTTTCTGTAGAAGCACTTTGTGACATCTGGTGATTTGGTCATGTGTAGTACCTACTATATAATTTTGTAGCCAGTCAAGATGCTCTAAATTGTGCATCTGTAGCTTTTTGAGGATAGTAAATACTACAGTATACTACAGACTGCAAAAAAACTACAGTAAATACTACAGGTATGTTTGCAAAAACACAACAGTAATTACAATAGTGTATATACTACAGTATTTAATTTGCATATACCCTTCCTATTCCCCTCCCCCATATCCCAATTTGTGCCACCCATAAATGAGGAAACCTACATTCCAAGTATAGACCATATATTGTGTTCCCTAAAGGTTATAGAAAAAAACAGAAGCTCTGAACTATCCGTTCAGAACTCCTACATTCATTCAAGTTATGGGAAATTTGCTCTTTGAGTATTTTGTCAAGTAGTTTTCCTCAAGGAGAAAGTGCCCAATGCTATGTCAAAGATAATAAAACAAAAACACTACAGTAAATACTACAGGATACTACAGTCCGCAGAAACACTACATTCATGACTATGGTCGTTTTTTTGTATATTTTTTTTACTACAGTATTTATACTATAGGAAACTGTAAATACTGTAGTATTGTTTTCATGTGGGTGTTGAGCACATCCTAGAAGGTTTGAGACAGCCTTTATCCTAGAAGGATCCACTAGGCTCATGCAATCTCCTCGGGGTGGTCACTAGTTCTCCATCAACTTGGTTAACTGTCATGCAACATCATTTCCATCCTATCCTACAATATAGGGATTTTACTACACTGATGACTCGCAACCGCTAGGGTGCATTCACTCCCTTCACGAAGCAGACTGGCTCCCAGACTGTTAGACACAGCAGGCACTTTTCACCTGTTCAGCTAGCTATGCTGTAGGTATAGCCACCGTTGGGCACCATGCGTAGGGTATTTGTTTCCCACAACAGCGACCCGGGTTGGCCGGCCGTTTGCTAAATTGGTGCCGAATATGGGATGGTGACTATGGGACCATTGGAACACACCATGCGTGTTTTCTTAAGGTGATGCCTCTGTAACAGATCGTCCACTCTTGCTAGACTGATACAGACGTCTAGCCTCCTTATTGGAGCAATATGACAAGGGAACCCCCCATCTATGAAAGGTTGTTCTAAGGAGGGATTGCGCTATGCATGCCAAAATCCCATTCTTATGGTCCCGTTCCTGGCCCTGCCAGTCTTACTGGCATCCCGTATAGCAGCTTTTCAGCCGCAGGAAGGCGTACATCGCCTACAACCAGTGACCAAGCAGATAGTTTGCGCCGCTGGAAAGCATGGAAATGAGTTCTCTAATTTAATACTGCTTTACTTAGCCATTACATCCGCAAAGCAGGTGAGTAAGCTGCAAACACTATCAGTTTCAGTGCCTGTACTTTGCCCCATGGTTGTCCAAGGTTGCTTCAACCTAAACCCGTGTTTGTGCCTAAAGCTAGTAGTGCTTGCTATAGCCTCTCTTTAGAGCTGTTGGCCATGTCAAACATCCTTCCTTCCAATATGCTTTCTATGTTAGAATTGCCAGAACAATCTGAGATACCAAAAATATTTTTTGCTGGCGTGGAATCACCCAACAGGGTTTAAGTTTACATATCCGCCTTCCCAAGTTAATGATGCATGTGTTTTAGACATGCATAAGGTTGCATCCCAAATGGCACCCTATTCCCTATAGTGCATTACCTTTGACCTCAGCCCTATGGAATAGGGTGCCATTGGGATGCAGGCAATGTTACTTACAAGATGGAGGAGACTGGAACATGATCCGGTCCCATATTTTCTGTCATGATGTAAGGCATTATCTCTGAGAAATCGGCACCAAACTTCTTATTGAAATCCACATCGGCCTTGCTTTCATTCCGTACGAACGCCAATGAGCCTCTGCGTTCTCCCTATGATAATGGGATAAAAATACTTAATCAAATCAAAGTTTATGGTCACGTACAAAGTTTAGCAGATGTAACAGTGCGTGCAGTGAAATGCTTATGTTACTAGCTCCTAACAGTTCTAATAACACAACCATTTCGCTGCACCCGCTGTAACATCTGCTATACACATTTTTGTCATGGTATGCCATCCAATTTTTCTATTTGTTGTAATGTTACAGTAAATCAGTGATCCTGGAGGTTAACCTATTGTGTAGCATTGTAACTACAGTATTAAGTTGTCATGGCTTTCCCTGACCTCTTTCACATAGCTTGAAGCATCCTTGAGGTTGAGCTTGTGGAAGATGTTGAATATTTGGTCACAAGACTTCCTGGCAGAGGATGTCATCAACAGCCAGTACAACCACTTCTCCTCAAAGTTATTCCACCTTAGAAGGATATCAGAAGAGAGTCAAAAAACTATTTAGTGCTCACTTTAGTCTTTGAAGGAATGGTATGTAATACATTTATTTAAATAATACTTATATGATAATAATAACTTATTGATGTTGCTAATATGATGTTAGTGTCCACATACTTATCTTTCATGTAGTTATCTCCTATTTGTCCAGAAATGTCCTCTATGGCGACAAGCATGTGGTCGAAGGTCTGAAAAAATAAAAGAAATGATGAGTCATGGATTTATTTTGTCAAGATTATATTTCAATTGACCAATTTCACACACTTTTAGATGAACTGGTTGATGTTTTATAAAAGAGGGTTTAGCTACTGACACTCAGCCCTTGATGAACAACCTTCATCTTGCAGACCCATCCGCCTCTATTCACCTGTCCCCCTTGCCACTAACTGCTGTCGAGTTCATGTTTGGGGGGGCCAGTTGACATGTGCATTACTGGACACAGGTTCCACAGTGACCCTTAACCACCTGGTGCTTAACCTTGATCACAGTAACTGGAGAACGAGCTCCTATACTGGGAAGCTGTGAAGTCTACAGGTGGGTGACTGTGAGGCTGAGGCAAAGCTTGACTTCCAGACAAATACCATTATGTTCCAAGATGATAAACCCATTCCCCTTCTCAGTGAGTCTGCCTTCCCACGATGCCCACTGACCAGAAAAGTGACACTCCGTACGAACAAACCAACCGTGCCCTAGCCTTCTGTGGGAAGCCCCCTTTCAGAGTGCACGTTCCCCCTCTCCAATGATAGCCACCACCATGGAGCCCCATGAGGAACTACAGCCCCCGCCTACACCAGTTCTACAGATGGCAAGTGTCACCACAGACACAGAATCAGCAGCAGTCGCCACTGTCAAAGCCATGTGGGAGCAACTTTACACATTCCGGCACAGCTTTGCTGTCACCCCTATTGATGTAGATCGAACCCACTTGGTGCAGCACACCATTGCCAATGCGCCAGATGGATGCCCTATGCCTGCGAAGCCGCAGCGGAGGAGCTCATAGAACAGATAGCATCTACTGACCCCAATGAACCGTGATAGGCCTCCCCGTAGTCATGGTCCCCAAAAAGGATGGACCCTGTAGGTTCTCTGCTGACTATCGGCAACTTAACAACAAGATGGTGAAAGACTCCTACCCACTGCCTCGGATAGACAGATGCCTCGATTATGTCGCTGGCTCAGCTTGGTTCTCCTCCCTGGACCTACGGAGCGGATACTGGAAGGTACCTCTGGCACCCGAAGACAAAGCAAAGACATTGTCTTATGGAGAAGGTTCTCAAAGGTGTGCCCGGAACAATGTGTATTGTATTTCAATGACCTACTGGTGCGTGGGACAAGGTTTGAGACTGCGTTGGAAAACATTAGGGAAGTTCTGGGCCGAATCCAAAGAGCTGGGCTGAGTGCAGTTTCATGCAGAAAGAGGTTACCTTCCTCGGACACAGAGTCAGCCAGGCAGGCGTCATGACAAAGCCGGACAAAGTCGTTTTTACTGATATCCACATGGCAGTCAATACTCTCTTTGAGTGGGGGATGGACCAACAGCCTTTAACATCCCGAAGCAGGCTTTGTGTCAGGACCCTGTGTGTATCGCCCCAGATCTGGGAAATCTGCCAGCAGTGAAGGCCTCGTGCAGTCTTGTCGCAGCTGACTTCAGAAGGAGAACGAGTTGTTGCATATTACAGTCGCACCTTTGACAAGCCTGAGAATAATTATTGTGTAACCCGCCGGGAGCTTCAGGGAGACGGGTATAGCTCATTCATTTTAATGGCATTCGCTTTTAACATTATAATGTGAATCAAGTATATTTTAAAATGTTGTGTATTCAATAAAGGATACACGTTTTGAAAGTGCTATTGTGTACATGATCTGGGGTTATAATTATGTTTGTATTTTTCAGAGAGCTTTGGAGAGGCCTTTCGCTGCTCTTACTGTTGAGTTAGTTAGTGTCCCGATAGGTAGGTCGTTGAGCTGGTATCCAGGTAAAATACTTGGGGTTGCCTTAGTAGGTGGACTAGTTAAATTGTCTTTTTATATATATATATATATGTTTGTATGTTGTGTCACCACTCTTCCCTAGAGACCTCCTGGGTTGGCTGTTCTTAGGAGGGAGCTATTTGATTCGAAAGCAGACTGTGCATTCTCATGCCATTTACCACCAGTTTGTTATCCTATAAGAGTATTATACCACGAGTGCGCTATCTCACACTGTTTCATCACGAGTGTAGTAGCTTACAATGAGTATTTCATCACGAGTGTGCTTTATTTAAAGTCCGCATGAATCTCGCCCTGCTGCTAATTTATTGTGACACTCTGGCTCCATGGACTTTGATTGTTGAGCCAGGGTTGTTCATTTTCATTATTTGGGGTGTATTTCTATGTTGGTAGTTCTGTTGTGTGTATTTCTAGGTTTGCCTTTCTGTTGGGTTCATGTCTAGGTTTGGTCTATGACTCCCAATCGGAGGTAACGAGTGTCAGCTGTCGGCTCGTTATCTCTGATTGGGAGCCATATTTAATCTGTATGTTTTCTTGTGGGAGTTGTGGGTTTTTGTTCCGTTTTCGGTCTGTGTACCGTGGACGTCATTGAGTCGTCTTTTGTTTTGGATTTTGGTTACTTTGCTAAATAAAGTCATGTTTCTTGGACACGTTGCGCCTTGGTCATACTTGGACGACATAGACGACCGTGACAGAAAAACCCACCACAAAAAGACCAAGCAGCGTGTCAAGCGGCAACAGGACCTACCTACACAGGATTTATGGACTCCCATAAAGGATTCATGGACATGGGAGGAGATTCTGGATGGTGAGGGGCCTTGGGATCAACCGGGAGAATATCGCCGTCCTCGTGAAGAGCTGGAGGCAGCTAAAGCCGAGAGGCGGCGATATGAGGAGGCAGCACGGAGGCAAGGCTGGAAGCCCGAGAGTACTACCCAAAAATTTCTTGGGGGGGGGCTAGAAGGGAGTGTGGCGAAGTCAGGTAGGAGACCTGCGCCTACTCCCTGGACTGACCGTGGAGAGCGAGAGTACGGGCAGACACCGTGTTACGCAGTAGAGCGCATGGTGTCTCCTGTACGCAGGCATAGCCCGGTTCGGTACATTCCGGCTCCACGTATCGGCCGGGCTAGACTGAGCATTGAGCCAGATGTCATGAGGCCGGCCCCACGCATCCGGTCACCAGTGCGTCTCCTCGGGCCGGCTTACATGGCACCAGCCTTACGCATGGTGTCCCCGGTTCGCCTACATAGCCCGGTGCGGGTTATTCCACCTCCCTGTACTGGTCAGGCGACGGGGAGCATACAACCAGGTAAGGTTGGTCAGGCTCAGTGCTCAAGGGAGCCAGTACGCCTGCACGGTCCGGTATTTCCGGCACCACCTCCTGTCTCCAGTCCAGTACCACCAGTGCCTACACCACGCACTAAGCCTCCTGTGTGTTCCCCGAGTCCTGTGCGTCCTGTTCCTGCTTCCCGCACTAGCCCTGAGATGCGTGTCCTCAGCCCGGTACCTCCAGTTCCGGCACCACGCATCAGGCCTACGGTGCGTCCCCAGGGTCCAGCATGCCCTGTTGCTTCTCTCCGCACTAGCCCTGAGATGCGTGTCCTCAGCCCGGTACCTCCAGTTCCGGCACCACGCATCAGGCCTACGGTGCGTCCCCAGGGTCCAGCATGCCCTGTTGCTTCTCCCCGCACTAGCCCTGAGATGCGTGTCCTCAGCCCGGTACCTCCTGTTCCGGCACCACGCACCAGGCCTACGATGCGCCTCAGACAGCCAGAGTCTGCCGTCTGCCCAACGGGGCCTGAACTGTCCGTCTGCCCAACGCCGTCTGAACTGCCCGTCTGCCCAACGGGGCCTGAACTGTCCGTCTGCCCAACGCCGTCTGAACTGCCCGTCTGCCCAACGCCGTCTGAACTGTCCGTCTGCCAAGCGCCGCAGGAACTGCCCGTCTGTACTGAGCCTGCAAAGCCGCCCGTCTGCCATGAGCCTTCAGAGCCGTCCGCCAGACCGGAGCCGCTAGAGCTCTCCGCCAGACAAGAGCAGCCAGAGCCTTCCGCCAGACAGGATCAGCCAGAGCCTTCCGCCAGACAGGATCAGCCAGAGCCTTCCGCCAGACAGGATCAGCCAGAGCCTTCCGCCAGACAGGATCAGCCAGAGCCTTCCGCCAGACAGGATCAGCCAGAGCCGTCCGCCAGACAGGATCAGCCAGAGCCTTCCGCCAGCCATGAGCAGCCAGATCCGTCGGCCAGCCATGAGCAGCCAGATCCGTCAGCCAGCCATGAGCAGCCAGATCCGTCAGCCAGCCATGAGCAGCCAGATCCGTCAGCCAGCTATGAGCCGTCCAGCCAGGATCCGCCAGAGCCGTCCAGCCAGGATCCGCCAGAGCCGTCCAGCCCGGATCCGCCAGCCAGCCAGGATCCGCCAGAGCCAGCCAGCCAGGATCCGCCATTCAGTCCGGAGCTGCCCCTCAGTCCGGTGCTGCCCCTTAGTCAGGTACTGTCCCTTAGCCCGGTGCTGCCCCTTAGTCCGGTGCTGCCCCTTAGCCCGGTGCTGCCCCTTATCCCGGTGCTGCCCCTTAGTCCGGTGCTGCCCCTTAGTCCGGTGTTGCCCCTTAGTCCAGGTGGGGTTAGTTGGAGGGTGGTCATTGGGAGGAGGCTACTGAAGCAGGTTGTGACTGTGGTGGGGTGGGGATCACGACCGGGGCCAGAGCCGCCACCGTGGACAGACGCCCACCCAGACCCTCCCCTAGTCCTTATGTTGGTGCGCCCGGGGTTCGCACCTTTAGGGGGGGGTACTGTGACACTCTGGCTCCATGGACTTTGATTGTTGAGCCAGGGTTGTTCATTTTCATTATTTGGGGTGTATTTCTATGTTGGTAGTTCTGTTGTGTGTATTTCTAGGTTTGCCTTTCTGTTGGGTTCATGTCTAGGTTTGGTCTATGACTCCCAATCGGAGGTAACGAGTGTCAGCTGTCGGCTCGTTATCTCTGATTGGGAGCCATATTTAATCTGTATGTTTTCTTGTGGGAGTTGTGGGTTTTTGTTCCGTTTTCGGTCTGTGTACCGTGGACTTCATTGAGTCGTCTTTTGTTTTGGATTTTGGTTACTTTGCTAAATAAAGTCATGTTTCTTGGACACGTTGCGCCTTGGTCATACTTGGACGACATAGACGACCGTGACATTTATTTGTGTGTTCTCCTCTTAATAAACCGTGGAACTTTGGAACTCTGTTTATAAAATTCATTTGACAGACCTGTGATTGAAAAACTGGCATAGTACAGTTTACTAAAAGTAGAAACGTTACTTTTGGGATTTATTCGAGAGATGTAAGGTTTGTTGTCTGATTCTCTGCGGTTGATGAACAACAAAGACTTCTAATCAGATAGTTACCCTACTCTGTATTTTTTCAGCTAGTGTGCGTTCTGTCACTGCTGCTCTCTTCACTTTCAGCCAGGTGACCAGTGGTTTCATGGTTATTCCCTGCAACAAATAAGGAGAAAATATAGTCAGCTGGTAACAAATTAACATATACTGTACCAGTCTGTTCAAGTCAAGACATATTACATTGTATGAAAGAAAACTACAAATGGTGAAATATGTATGGTCTGATGTTTGACATTTAAATGAGCTATTTTACCTGCAGCATCACAGTGAAGTACACTACTATGAGGGTGGTGCTGATCATCAGATTCTTCTCCTTGTACTTATTCTCATCCAGCAAGAGCACAAGGCCATAGGCTACGGCCCCTCGTAGGCCACCGTAGCCCATCACTACTTGATCAATAAAGTCCAAGGGAACCAGTCGGTACTGGTTCAGAATCCAGGTCAGTAAAAAGACCCCTATGATATAAATACACACATATATTTCTGTTACATGTACAGTGCCTAGTGAAAGTCTACACACCCACTGCAGAGTCTAAACATTTTGCTGCCATAAAATTACATGTAAAAAGGGATTAAATTAGTTTTCCTATACAGATCTGCACAACCTACTTCACATTTTCAAAGTGAAATAAAATTATAAAAAATATTCCTAATTTTTAAAAATACAGTACCAGTCAAAAGTTTGGACATAATTACTCATTCCAGGGTTTTTCTTTATTTTTACAATTTTCTACATTTTAGAATAATAGTGAAGACATCAAAACTATGACATAACACATATGGAATCATGTAACCCAAAAAGTGTTAAACAAATCAAAATATATTTTATATTTGAGATTCTTCAAATAGCCACCCTTTGCTAATCATGTTATTCTACCTGCGACACGGTAGTATTGCTCATGTAAAAATATCTTTCTACCTCAGTCCCCCCTCCTGCTAGCTAACTACATCGCTAGCTAGTGTGACTTGGTTAGCCCATGCTGCAAGGCTTAAGCTAGCTCGGCTAGCTCGCTGCAAGGCAAGCTAACCTCGCAATTCTACCTAGCTCGGCTAGCTCTCCCCCTCACTTAGTTTAACCTGCGTTTATTCGCCGGTACTAACTAGACCGTTGACCCGGCCACACGCCTCTTTCGGTCGTGGGAGTAGGCTAACCTAAAGGCTAACACTATCCTAGCTCAACCCCTTCAGCTAGCACCAAGCTAGCTACAGTACAACTCCAGGTAGCTGCTAGCTAATGTGGTTCAGCCTCGTTGATATAGCGTTCTCTACTGTGCTAATCGCTACTAGTCATCAGCCACAAGGCTTCTTTCTTCCCAAAACGAGCTTAGCACAGCACTCAAATACCCATGTTCTTGTGCTTGCAGTTCTAAGATTGCTAGGAAGGATGTTCACCATCTGTGCATAATGTGCTTGGGACGGAAACATGCCAAGATGGCACTCAAGGACTTTGAGTCCTACGATTGCTGCAAGTCGCTAACTGAGGCGAATCTGAAGAAGAGACTCAAACCGGCCTCTCTCTCGGTAGCCCGGTTCAACCCACGACCAAGCACAGCTGGAACGAGATCATGGATAGCCTCAATTCTGCCCTCTATCAGTCTTGGGAAAAGGCAAATTAGGGGACGATGAGGATGATGGAGCGATTAACTTCGCCAGTCTCTTTGAGGCGGCACCTGACATGGAGGTCGACCAGGTCCCACCCTCTCAGACTCTTAGGCGAGACAGCCCCGAAGACAGAGAAGACGCCATTGCTCCACTGGAGTTTGGGTTCCTTGATGTCTGTAGGCGAGCCGCGACGAGACTGGAGATCGAGTGGCCGGCTCCCCCAGGGAACAGAAACCGAGAAAGGGATCTGTACGATGGGAGAAGACTTTCCACTAGCTCAGCCCCAATAAAGCAACTGCTACCTGCAGTTCCAGCTTGCCTACGGGAAGCTAAGTGCTTGTGGAATACTGTAAGTCCCTTACTGGCAAAGTGCTGGCTAAGGCTCCCCGAGCTTGGACAAGCACAACATGGAGGAATCCGAGTTTTGCAGCCCCCATAAAAGCCGATTTATGCTTGATCCGGCTATATGGTGCAGAGGCTCCGTATGGAGGGTGTGAGACAATTGCTCTCTCGCTCACAGTAGCCCTGTGGGTTGACATGGTTAACCTCCCTGTGTCACGACTTCCTCCGAAGCTGCCTCCTCTCCTTTTTCGGGCAGGCTTCGGCGTTTGTCATCACCAGCCTTCTAGCCACTGCCGCTTCTCATCTCATCATTCCATTTGTTTTGTCTTATTTATTATACACACCTGGTTCATATCCCCTCATCAGTACCTATATAAGTGTTCCCTCTGCCCCTTTGTCTTTGTGTGTGATTGTTTATTGTGGAGGTTAGTTTAGCTTGGAGGAGCTCCATGTATTTTGTATCGCCGGGATATTTCACCCGTGTGCCTTGTTGTTTACCAGTGCGCCTGATTACTCACTGTGTTTGACGCATTGCTGCATACCGCTGTGCCTTCGGAATAAACCCTTTTATTCTGTGATTTACCCTCCTGCGTCTGTCTCCTTTTAAATCACTCGCCACAGAATCACACACCCGACATGAAGTCAGCAGGAGAAGAGCACATGCCTGGAGTCGTGGCACGGATCCGGGAGCCTTCTACAATGTTAGCAAGCTTGGGAGAAGTGATGGATCGGGTTCTCCAGGTCATCCAACGCCTGGAGAGGAGAGGACCCAACCCGTCGGGACCAGCTGAGCGACCGGATCCAGCCACCCACACCCCAGCACCCAGAGGGATTAATCTCTCCCGACCGAAGGATTATGACGGGACAGCTGCCCGCTGCCAGTGATTCCTCCTGCAGCTGGAGATCTACTTCTCGTCCATCAGCCCGGCTCCATCACGCTTCTTCACAAAATTAGATCTCCGGAGTGCATATAACCTGGTGTGTGTCCAAGAGGGGGACGAGTGGAAGACAGCATTCAGCACAACCACAGGGCATTACGAATACCTGGTGATGCCGTATGGTTTGATGAATGGTCCATCCGTTTTCCAGTCCTTTGTGAATGAGGTGTTTCGGGACATGCTTGTTCGCGGTGTAGTGGTCTACGTTTTGGTGTATTCCGAGACTTGCACCTCGCCCTTCGAGCTCATCTCGATAATAAGTGACATTCCAGTCAGCCGGTTCTCTACCTGCTTATGACCAGTCCTGATGTGGTTGCCTTTCGCAGGGTCCCGTATGGCACCCTTGCAAACAGAACCCTTTTGACCACTGTGTCTGCCCCAGTCACCAGTTGGCTAAATGCCCTGCGCACAACCAGCGTGTGGACCGTTTTCCTTCGGCCTGCTGCTAACACGCAGTACCTATATGTAGCCTGCTTAACCTCTCTCTGTGATTCAGGTCAAGTAGTTTATTCATGGTCGGCTTTTGGGATTCTTTCTGACTTCCTGTCCGCTGCCTTTCCCAGAAGAGCATCTCCTTTCGTTCCAGTGTCTGCTCTGTGCCTTTGCTGGAGTGGACAAAACCCTTTTACTATGCTGTTATGCTCTCCTTGGTACCTGCCTTCGACAGAAGCTGGATACCTTTCTCTTCTCCTACACTATCCTGCTGGGATAGTGGGGGCTATTAGGATTTATTCTAATAGTTGGATGTTGGCCTTCGGAGGGGGCCTACTACGGCCCTCTCCTACAGAGAACTGAGCGTGTTTCCTTTTGGGGTATCTCCTCTGGGAGATCGGTTTCGGGACCTCTTAGGGTCATCTGTGCCGGGACCTCCTGGCTTTTGGAGAGCAAGTTGCGATACAGGAGTTCACTATATCCCATTGTGAAATACGGAATGAGTAGTTGAAATATAGAACTCAAGGTTATTTACATAACCCTGGTTCTCTGATATTATGAGTGAAGTATTTCACTGCACCTTTGAAAATTGTCAGTGAGTGGGAGAGTGGCACTTTTAAGCAGGGGGGGTCGGACCCTTTTCGCTGTTCTCCCGGTCTGTCTCCAACAGATGTTTGTGATTTGGTTCTTCGAGTTATGGGAGTTCCGAAACAAAATCCTATTGTGAAATATTTCACTTATAACCCCGGTTCTCTGATATTATGTAAATAACCTAGAGTTTCACCATGTGTTGTATTGGATTTGACACAAACCTGTAGTTTTTAATTCAGTTTTGAAAAAGTTATTTTCTTTGCTGTGTTGTGTCACGCCCTGGCTCTGGGGACACTGTTATGTTGAGCCAGGGTGTGTAATTCTATGTTTGTATTTCTATGTTGGCCTGAGTGACTCCCAATCAGAGGCAACGAGTGTCAGCTGGTTGTCTCTGATTGGGAGCCATATTTAACTGTCTGTCTTTCACTTTGTGTTTGTGGTTTCTTGTTCTTATTTGGTTTGTGTTCAACCGTAGACATCACGTTTTCGTCTGTTGTTTTGATCGTGTGATCATTCTAATAAATATAATGTTCGCATTCAACGCTGCGCCTTGGTCTCTCCCTGACGATCGTGACAGAAGAAACCACCAAAACTGGACCAAGCAGCGTGTCCAGGAGCCATCGCCTGGGGAATCGCTTGCAGATCTCCGTGGCAACCTCAACTGGGTCCAGCCTTGTAAAGAGCAGAGTGGATGGACTTGGGAACAGTTGAGGAAGAGCTTCGACTGGGTCAAGCCCATTGAGGAGCTGAATAGCGGGAGTTGGAGACAGAAGAGCGAGAGTTGGGCGAGAACGATAGAGGCCTGGCCCACGGGGAGGAGAGACCCCCAGAAAATTTTTAGGGGGGGGCTCACGACGTCGGGGCAGCAGGAGGCCGCCAGGTTACGGGGGCCACTGGTCGAAGAGGGGATGGAAGGTGGAGAGGCACGGCGAGAGGTACTGGGGTGTGTTACCAGTCCGGTCCGGCCCGTTCCAGATCCCAATGTAGGGCCAGTGGTGTGTGTCCCCAGTACGGTCCGGTCTGTTCCTGCTCCCCGCACCAAGTCAGTGGTGCGCTTCGTCAGCCCGGCTCGGCCCGTTCCTGCTCCCCGCACCAAGTCAGTGGTGCGCTTCGTCAGCCCGGCTCGGCCCGTTCCTGCTCCCCGCACCAAGTCAGTGGTGCGCTTCGTCAGCCCGGCTCGGTCCGTTCCTGCTCCCCGCACCAAGTCAGTGGTGCGCTTCGTCAGCCCGGCTCGGCCCATTCCTGCTCCCCGCACCAAGTCTGTGGTGCGTTTCGTCAGCCCTGTCCGGCCCGTTCCTGCTCTCCGCACCAAGTCTGTGGTGCGCGTCGCCAGCCCAGTCCGGCCCATTCCTGCTCCCCGCACCAAGTCTGTGGTGCGTTTCGTCAGCCCGGCTCGGCCCGTTCCTGCTCCCCGCACCAAGTCTACGGTGCGTGTCGCCAGCTCGGCCCGGCCTGCTCCCCGCACCAAGTCAGTGGTGCGTTTCGTCAGCCCTGTCCGGCCCGCTCCTGCTCCCCACACCAAGCCAGTGGTGTGCGTCGTCAGTCCAGCACGGCCCGTGCCTGTTCCCCACACCAAGCCAGTGGTGTGCGTCGTCGGTCCGGCACGGCCCGTGCCTGTTCCACTGGTGCCTGGTCCGGCACCGGTCAGATGCGTTACGCCGGAGCTAGAGCAATCCGCTCCATCAGTGTGCAGTCCAGCTCCGGCCAGCGGGGCCAGACCGGACCAGGGGTACTTTGGGGGGTTGGAGAGGGAGTGGGGATCAGGCCCGGAGCCGGATCCGCCGCCAAGGCGGAGTGCCCACCCGGTCCCTCCCCTGTGGTATCCGCGCCTTTAGGGGGGGGTACTGTCACGCCCTGGCTCTGGGGACACTGTTATGTTGAGCCAGGGTGTGTAATTCTATGTTTGTATTTCTATGTTGGCCTGAGTGACTCCCAATCAGAGGCAACGAGTGTCAGCTGGTTGTCTCTGATTGGGAGCCATATTTAACTGTCTGTCTTTCACTTTGTGTTTGTGGTTTCTTTGTGTTTGTGACATGTTGTCTTGCAGTATTACTTAACGGCCTTGTTGCAAACAGAATGGATGATTTGGAGTGGATTTTTTTTAACACAGGCTTTCTTCTTTTCACTTTGTCACACAGGCAAGTAATGTGGAGTGAATGCAATGTTGTTGATCATCTGACCATTTTGAAATATTGTGGTGGCAGCATCATGTTATGGATATGAGTTTGTCAGGATCAAAATAAATATGAAAGGAGCAAAGCCCAGGTAAAAAGTTAAAGGAAAATACTACAGTTTACTACAGAATATTATAGTACTTACTATAGAATTCCGTACTAACTGTAGTATACTCTAGAAGACTATACTCCACACTGTAGTATCCCTTGAGTATGTAGTGCTTACTATAGAATCGTATAGTATGCTGTAGAATACTATACTCTACACTATAGTATCCCTTGCTCAAGTGCAGTACTTACTATAGAATTGTGTAGTATACCGTAGTATAATGTGAAAACACTACAGTGAATACTACTGTAACGTCTGCAAAAACACTACAGTGAATAATACTGTAGTATAGTAATTTAATATGGGGTGTGTAGACTTTCACTAGCGACTGTATTTAAAATATGTATTCGATTCATTTTGAATAACTTTTGAACAAGATACTTTCGAGAGCTGTAATTTGTATTTTCAAAATACGAAATACTTTTCTATACCATTTTGTTATAGCAGTTCACAATTTTGTGGCCCCTTTTACCCTGCATTGGTATTAGAAGTATGATGGCACTGATGTGATGAGAGCATCGGCTAAATTACCAAAATGTACATGTACTGTAAATGTTCAAATGAACACTCGCAAAGCATGCTCGTTATTATTCTAATTAGCTCTGCCCCCGAAATGAGACCAATAATAATACCCAGTGTGCTTTGCTATTGTTAATTTTTGTATGTATATTTTGGTCATTTAGCAGACAATCTTATCCATAGCAACTTTCAGTCTTAGTTAACTAAAGTAGTAAAAAAAAAACACATCAAAGTCATAGCAAGTAGAACGATTTTTGTTATCGTTATTGAGAATGTTGTTGTATTTTGAAAATACAAAAATACCTAAAATTCCTGTATTTGGTGCCTCCCGAGTGGTCTAAGGCAGTGCTAGAGGCGTTACTACAGACCCGGGTTCATTCCCGGGCTGTGCCACAACCGGCCGTGCCCGGGAGTCCCATAGAACGGCGCACAATTGGCCCAGCATCGTCCGGGTTATGGGAGGGTTTGGCCGGGGGGGCTTTACTTGGCTCATCGCGCTCTAGTGACCCCGGTCGCCAGTTGAACGGTGTTTCCTCAGACACATTGGAGCGGCTGGCTCAGGGAAAAGCTGGCAGGTGTTAAGGTGCGTGGTTATCTAGATACTATACAAAAGTATCCTTTTATTTTATTTTGATACATTGGTCTGTCGGGTATTTCGTATTTGAAACAAGATACTTTCAGATGCATCTTTTGCCAATCTCTGCATGCACACACATAGTGTCAGTGCTGGTAATGTGAAGCATTCAACAAGTATCCTTGTGTATAATATTGAGCTACACACACAAGGATTGCAAGTTGGTAATTGCCTAAACTTCCAAACCACAATATTGTTCATCCTGTAGAGATTGAGCAAAATAGAATCTCCATTGATTCCCCCTCTCACAAAATCATACTAAAGATTATGACCCAAACTCACCCATGAACCTGAACACAAAGATGAAGAGGAGTGTGAGGAGGATAAAGGCTGTGTTCCACACCCATATAGACGGATCTATGGCCGAGATGCCGAGGAAGACAAAGATGATGGTCTCTGAGCCATTTGCGAACACCTTCATTGTGGATCGTACCGTGTTGACCGACTTCTCGTCCATGTTGGCATTGATATACTTCTGACAGCAGACGCCACAGAACGTACACCTATGACACAGCAAGAAAAGGGTCATGTCACTTAGAACATATACTAAAATGCAGTAGGTACTGTATGTGATGGTAAATAGAGAGCTTTGACATTGTTGACCAGAGTCAACCTCAAGGGTCATCAATGGCAAATACATACACTCTCAGAAAAAAGGGTTCCAACAGGGTTCTTCGGCTGTCCCCATAGGAGAACCCTTTATGGTTTCAGGGAGAACACTTTTTGGTTCCATGTAGAACCCTTTTGGGTTCCATGTAGGACCCTGAAGGTCCTACATGGAACCCAAATATGTTCTACCTGGAACAAAAAGGGTTCTACCTGGAACCAAAAAGGGTTCTCGTATGGGCACAGCCAAAGAACCCTTTTAGGTTCTTATGATAATGTGTAATTAATTGGGTAATAAAGGATGGAATATAAAATATGAATGTATATATATATTCTACAGTAAACGGGGCACCACCTATCATTTAAGTCCTGAGGAAACTTTCTTAGCAAGTATGGATAGGAGGATGGTTTCTTTTAACTCACAAGGATAGAAAAAATATAATCACAATGATTCTAAACGAGACAAAGCAGGGAATTAAAGTGAAAGAAAGATACATGCTCACACCAATAGGGATTAAAGGAGTGAGAAAAGGCTGCATTGAATGTGTTTACGTTTAGTAGCTCAATCTCTCGGATTCACAAACGCCCTTTCAGTGCAAAAGGTCCCTGTTCAAACAGTTCCGGGTTGGTGTCTTCGTCCAACTGAGATCGAAGCGAGAGCGGAGGACAATCATTCAAATTCCAACATTGGTGTTTGGCCTCCACTCATTGAGATCGGGGGGTCAATAAGCAAGGGGCGCTTTTCAGTTACCAACTACGCTGACGTCTGAGCAGCAGAAGGATTTCGGTCGGCTATGGCTATTATTCGCACCATGCTTTTATAGTTCAGTTCGAATGGACATTGAGGTCAGTGAGTTTGGGGCTAGGTGCTGAGGCTCCTTGCCTGATTGGCTGAAATATTCTGTGGTAGCATGTTCCGTGGTAGCAGGAGGTGCACCCAGCCCCACGGAGGAGAATCCCTTTCCTTAGGGAATTGAATATTGTTCCATTATTGATGGATAAATCCTTTGTCCACCGGGAAAGGTGAGTCATTGTTCAGGGTATACTGTTCCCTACATAATGATACAAAACCTGTTCTCCTTGAAAAATAGAGAATTTATTCACAACGGGGAGAATACACAATCTCATTTAACATTTCTACAGCACACAATGATCATAGCATGCATCAGTATAGTTCTTGCCTCCACTTCTTGCCTCTCAGCCTAGATCCTTATATAATGATTTCTCCCAAAAAGCAAGGTTTCTGGTGTTAACAAGAATGTTCTCCTGATTCCAAATGAACGGTCTGGATTCTGTCTGTTTAGAGCAGGGCGAACCATTTGGCGGGCCCCTGCTGTTACGATGCTGTTACTGGTGGACTTACCATTTGGCAGAAGAGGCAATTGACTCAGGCCTCACATCATCAAGGGGCCTCGTGAGCTGGGCGTAATATATATATATATATATTTTTTATCATCCTCTTGAGGCCCCTCAAGGTGCCCCCCGCTAACGACCCACTGTCGTGGGCTGCTCAGCTCAGCTCATCACTCTCATTCTGTCTTGCTTCAGCAGGTTGGTTCAGCAGCAGTAAAATCTGAGGGGAAGTTTCAAAGTTGCAAGGGAAATGGGGAGGGAGGGGGTTTTGCCTTCCTAGCTAGCTAGCTTAACTAGCATCTCCCAATTTGATGCAGTCAAGACAGGTACTACATAATCATATTGGATGATAAATAACCTAGTTATGGCAGCTAGTATTCTACTATAACACGAGTCGGCTTGGTTGGTTGCTGTTTCTCGCCCCTCCCCCGCCTGCTAGAGTGGCACCTCTCTCTCCTTTTTCATGTGGTTTTCCAGTAGACTAAACTCTTTGTTGCGTATTGCTACCTTTAACAGTTCAGAAAGTGCATTGCAAAAAAAGTTAAAGGTAAACACCTCTCTCCCTCCTCTCCCTCGCACTTTATTACCTCCGGTTAACTTTATTACCTCCGGTTAATAAAGTTAAAGCTTAAAAATAGACTCTTCTGCTGCTTCCCTCACTCGGATCGGACTGGGACTATACGGAACGGGTGTAGTTGTCCTCGTGTCCGTTCAGAACCGTTCTCTATATTTAATTTATTTATTTATGCATAGTAGGAAAGCCCCAGGTCCATTTCGGAACAGGTCCTACTTTTTGGACCCATGAAGAACTCTAATGTGTAGCCCATGTATCTGATGCTGTCTGGCCAAAAAGAGAATGGCATGTCATACTCTTTTTGGCCAGACAGCATCAGATACATTTACATTTACATTTTAGTCATTTAGCAGACGCTCTTATCCAGAGCGACTTACAGTTAGTGAGTGCATACATTTTCATACTGGGCTACATACAGTGGGGAGAACAAGTATTTGATACACTGCCGATTTTGCAGGTTTTCCTACTTACAAAGCATGTAGAGGTCTGTAATTTTTATCATAGGTACACTTCAACTGTGAGAGACAGAATCTAAAACAAAAATCCAGAAAATCACATTGTATGATTTTTAAGTAATTAATTAGCATTTTATTGCATGACATAAGTATTTGATCACCTACCAACCAGTAAGAATTCCGGCTCTCACAGACCTGTTAGTTTTTCTTTAAGAAGCCCTCCAGTTCTCCACTCATTACCTGTATTAACTGCACCTGTTTGAACTCGTTACCTGTATAAAAGACACCTGTCCACACACTCAATCAAACAGACTCCAACCTCTCCACAATGACCAAGACCAGAGAGCTGTGTAAGGACATCAGGGATACAATTGTAGACCTGCACAAGGCTGGGATGGGCTACAGGACAATAGGCAAGCAGCTTGGTGAGAAGGCAACAACTGTTGCCGCAATTATTAGAAAAAGTTCAAGATGACGGTCAATCACCCTCGGTCTGGGGCTCCATGCAAGATCTCACCTCGTGGGGCATCAATTATCATGAGGAAGGTGAGGGATCAGCCCAGAACTACACAGCAGGACCTGGTCAATGACCTGAAGGGAGCTGGGACCACAGTCTCAAAGGAAACCATTAGTAACACACTACGCCGTCATGGATTAAAATCCTGCAGCGCACGCAAAGTCCCCCTGCTCAAGCCAGCGCATGTCCAGGCCCATCTGAAGTTTGCCAATGACCATCTGGATGATCCAGAGGAGGAATGGGAGAAGGTCATGTGGTCTGATGAGACAATAATAGAGCTTTTTGGTCTAAACTCCACTCGCTGTGTTTGGAGGAAGAAGAAGGATGAGTACAACCCCAAGAACACCATCCCAACCGTGAAGCATGGAGGTGGAAACATCATTCTTTGGGGATGCTTTTCTGCAAAGGGGACAGGACGACTGCACCGTATTGAGGGGAGGATGGATGGGGCCATGTATCGCGAGATCTTAGCCAGCAACCTCCTTCCCTCAGTAAGAGCATTGAAGATGGGTCGTGGCTGGGTCTTCCAGCATGACAACGACCCGAAAAACACAGCCAGGGCAACTAAGGAGTGGCTCCGTAAGAAGCATCTCAAGGTCCTGGAGTGGCCTAGCCAGTCTCCAGACCTGAACCCAATAGAAAATCTTTGGAGGGAGCTGAAAGTCTGTATTGCCCAGCGACAGCCCTGAAACCTGAAGGATCTGGAGAAGGTCTGTATGGAGGAGTGGGCCAAAATCCCTGCTGCAGTGTGTGAAAACCTGGTCAAGACCTACAGGAAATGTATAATCTTTGTAATTGCAAACAAAGGTTTCTGTACCAAATATTAAGTTCTGCTTTTCTGATGTATCAAATACTTCTGTCATGCAATAAAATGCAAATTAATTACTTAAAAATCATACAATGTGATTTTCTGGATTTTTGTTTTAGATTCCGTCTCTCACAGTTGAAGTGTACCTATGATAAAAATTACAGACCTCTACATGCTTTGTAAGTAGGAAAACCTGCAAAATCGGCAGTGTATCAAATACTTGTTCTCCCCACTGTATAGTAAGACAGAGGGGGTTGTTTTGCTCGCTCTGATGCTTTCTCCAGTGAGATTGTTTTAGCCACTTGTGAATTGAAGGAAAGTTGGCTGGTGCACAGTGCACTGTTGGGATGCTGGAATTATTTTGGATGAATATGTGAAGGTAACCAACTTTTTGATGTGAATTGTTTGACAATCAGATGGAAACATAATCACTGGTTGTGTTCATGGCAAATTAAAAAGTAATATATGTTTACAGTTAAATTACATGTCTTTACTATAAAACAGATTTTTTTTAAATGAGGGGGGAGCCTCAGACTGGCCTCTGCCTGGGGCCTCCAAATCACTAAGTCTGCCCCTGGGTGAAGTCCTGAATAGAACGTTTGAAGTGGATGTTCTGCTATTTAATGGTCCTCTGGAGTGTTCTGGGTCATCCTACTCTCCTTGACCTGTCGGGATCCCGGTAGGGGTTGAGGGGAGCAAGGCTTCGGTTCATGAGACTATGGTTGGCAGTCATACTACTCCTAAGCGCAGGTAGAGTACACAGGCCAGACATCCTGTGATGATCCAGCCTATCATGATGGAAACACATTGGATGGTGTCTGATGGACTCTAGGAATGGGTGAGGGGTGTCCTAAGGGATTTAGGTTTAACTGGGGCGATGTGCAGGCCCTGGGTAGTCAGCTTAAAGTCAAGGAGTTTAGTACCGTCATAGAGAATCTCATCTTGAATGAGTCTAGGTAGTACAATGCGACATCCCCTAGGTGTACTATATCTCCTTCAGGAACCTGGATGAGAACAGTTTGATTTGGGAGAGGCAGCTTAGTGACAGTGTCATGACGATCATATGTGACTATGACGTGGCTGGCCGGGGTACTGACGAGCCACGAATCGCCGGCTATCTCAACCTGCGTGACTGTTATGTCATCCTTAGCGGATACTACAGTTTGACAACGTTCATCCTCAGAAAACGG